CTCATTGATACGTCGTTATCAGAACAGGGGCTAGTTGGTCTAATAGTACTTCCAGATTTGTCATGTTGATTGTCTGTGGTGACTGCATGGTGATTATCATCCACTTGCATCATATCACCTAAATTATGCGAGACGCTGTTTGTTGGTGTAGTGTGACCTGTTGTGTTATTTGTGACTACATTTTCCTGTGCTGCAGGAGATATGTATGTGTTACTGTCAATTTCTGTCATTTTAGGATTGCTCGTATTCTGTAGATCTATAGGAGAGGGTAAGCTGCTTGGGGTTTTTTTTGGAATTTGGGATGGCAATTTTTTTCCTTCAAGATTTTCCACAGAGTTTTGTTTCTCTGGTGCTGTTTCTTCTTCCTGTACTGGAGTGTTAGGTGGTGTGTGAGTTGACGCATTCTGAATTTTGTCAAGGCTGAATTTGGATCCGCTTTTGACTATGTTAACTTGGTTCCAGGATAGGTGAAAAGTATAATTTAAGTTGCTGTCTAGTACTTTCCTAGCGATGGTCTCCCTTATGCTTTGGGCAAGATTATTCCTCTCCTGATATTGAAAGAAGTCATTAAGATTGTTTTGGGTGTTGCTTTTCATGTTATTGATAGTTATTGTTGCCTTTGTATGTGAGTGTGATGGGTTGGAGCTGGTTGTCACTTGTTTAAAGGCAATAAAGGCAATGTCCACTGGTAAAGGGTCGCTGGTAATATTTGAGTTGTTGTTGGTAATTGGGTTTTATAGTGGAATGATCCAAAATTTGGGAAAGTCGGCTAGGATTGGGATAGATATATTTTTTGCTGGTTTAGTGATTTGGATGGTGTTTGAGTTGCTTTCCTTGTATACTACAGAAAAGAGACGTTCGTTTGGGTTTGCTACCACAATATCCAAGAGAATATATGGGGAGTTTAGAGGTTTGCCCTTGGGAGGGGAGCTCCCAGGAGCACTTGTTGTTTTGCTTCTCCTTTGAATTTTGTCAGTTACTAAAAAAGGAAATTTTTAAGTGATACAAGTTTTTGGGGAAAGAGTTTTTTTTTATTTTATTATATATAGTATAAGATTTAGATGTGTATAAAATTATTTTTATATACAGTATTTATTTTTATACACAAATCTAAATTCATTCAAAATTTTAGTTTCATGTTTAGAAATAGCAAGATATTTTGTTTTAATGAATATTATTTTTGATAAAAAAAAATTCTTTTTTTGATATTATGAATACTTGCTTGTTATTTAATTGTTATTCTCCATTTAACTTTTTGAAAAATAATTTAAATAATATATGCGTATATTTGGTTTTTTGATTTTAAATATTTATTTTATCAAATTATATAATAGTTTGTTTGTTCATATACTGCATATTTTTTCAAGAAATAAAAAACAATGTTGGCATAACACGTGCAAAATGATTGGAGAGAATAAGCCTAATAAAATTTGTGCGCTTGTTAAGAGCAGAGCAATATAAATATTTTATAAGATATTTCAATTTCCAATCTAAAATTGATAAATCGTGATGATTGGAGTAACCATTCACTGTACTGCAATACGGATCATTCCATCGTTATATTCCAAATCAAAACTCTAGTTTATTTTCTTTGTTCTGTTAATCTTCTAAAACGAACGGTCGAATAAATTTATTTATTTGATAAAACAAAAAAGTTTTATAAATAAAAAAGGTTAGAACTGATACGGGAAAGGCGGCCTTTAAATTAAAGAATATTTGTTTACTACAATAAATTAAATAACAAATAGACATGCCTGAATACAGAATACACAGCAATAGGAGATAAATTAATCAAATAAAGATTTGTGTATACACGTGGAAGGATAGACGTATGTAACAAATGTTGAGGAATTTTTTTTTTAATAAATTGATTTTCGTATTTTATAATTTTCTTCATTGATTGTTATGTAATTTTCATAGTTTTAAGATCCCTCACTATAGTATTTTTCTAAAGAAAACGAATAAGCGTACTCAAATTTGTAAATTTCCCTTTTGAATTTTTAAGGTATAGTGGCCCTTGTGTTTCTGCATGATCCGGGCGTCACTAATTAATCAATGTACAATATTTTTGGTAGACAATCATAATTTTTGTCATTGGTGGAGTTGATTCGCAAGAAAATTTCACAAATATAGGTTATTCCGCGACTAGCCAAAATTGGAATCAAATATATGACGAATATTTCTTTTATACGCATGCGCTTCGCTCTCATTGATTCAATTTCCAGGAAATTCGAACAAGAACATAATATTTCCTCGCCTTTTTTCTTTTAAAAAAAAAAAATCTTGATAATATATATACATGCACATCACGGAATCAATAAATGTTTAAATTTAAGTTCTAAGTGCAATTTAAGGTAATCCACAATATGCATAAAAAATCAAGTTTCTCACAAACAAAATTAAATAAACCGCGTGTCAAAGTTACTTTGGCGTGCACCTTTTGTCAATTACGCAAAATCAAATGTACCGGTAGTTGTCCATGTGAAAATTGTATCAAGCATAAACAAGAATGTGCTTATAATTGTTCAAAGGCGCGGCGTGGTCCAAGAAGAATGAACATTGAAGTAATCTCCTGCAGAGAAAAAAGAGTCGCTGATGCTATTCGACTAGATCAAGAGCAGCATTCCTCAATGAAAGAACGATATAACTTTGCTTCTCAGGAAAATACCCTACCGACCAATTTGAATATTACGCCTTATGATTCCATGGCCTTAAATCAAGTCTTTTCATCGGAGCATGAAAATCAAAAATCCATCGAGGGTCTGCAAGAATTTCAACCGTCCTCAAACCAAAATGAATTACCATATTGTACAGACTATTCTTTTTTCGAGGGTCAAGATCATCTCAGACTTGAATCTACATGGGCACATGGTTTTTTATCAACAAATCATTTTCCAATTGTAGATGGCGAGGCGCGAACAGATAGTCCAATTGGTTTAAATCAATTTCCCAATTTTCAACCATTGGCAATTCATCCTTCGACACAATCGGTGGATATTTGTTCACATGTTGAGATGACCTCTCAGGTACCATATTCTCCATTCTTCCACGATAATAACTCAACAAATTATCTAAATTATAATTATCAGGATATTTGTTATACAGACAAAGAGAATTTTACCTTTTAATCCATAGATATTAGCGAATAACTTGTAAGAAAGTTAATTAATTATCGTCTTTTTAATAGGAACCTTTTTTTTTCTTATTGTAGTTTTATTAATTAATATTTCTAATTATAGTATAATGATCTTCGTTTTTTTTAATTGTTTGAATTGTAAACAAAATTACGTAATCGTCAAGATTGATTGCTTGCACAGTATGTAAACATGTACCATCGGGAATATCCTTTACAGATAGGTCGTGCCGTAGGGGCATCATCACGATATTGCATATACTGTATAATATCCTGGTAGATATTAAAATTCCTCCAAGTGCTGTATAAAAAGCTCCACGGTAGTCGATATATAGCGAGAGTTTTAAGAATAACATTTAGTAAGCATTAACGCTTGTGCAGTTACACTAAATAACGTCCCTATCGCAGAAAAATCCAAATCTTAGATGTAACTGATTGACTATGAATGACAAGGTCATAAGAATAATTATTTAGAAACCAATCAAATACCGAATAATATGTTTCCTCTCGATCAATAAATCATTCAATATAAAATTTCTGTTGTGTTACTTGTTCACAGATTCCAAAAGATGATTAGAACACCAAATGCTACCTTGACACAGACCATTTTGTGTAGCATCTTGTTTTGAAGCCATAAAGAATTCAAGGAAGGCCTTTCAAATCGAACAAAATAATTCTGAATGGACAACACGTGCCAGAATTTTTTTAAAAGAGTAACCTGTATAAACAATAATTACAAAAGATGTTTATTCTGCTGCGATTGTTACCTTTAAATATCCAATTAATTAAATCTATCTTACACTACATATTTTTTCAATCAGAATCGGAAATAATTTCATCAAATTCCTTTCTTCTGATGTTATACTTTCGAGGAGATTAGTTCTATTTTTTCTCTGAGATCTTTCTTACGTGTATCGGAATGCAGTAAATAAAATCAAATTCGAATCTATTTCCTTTTTCTCAAATTGCGACAATAAAATCTATGTTGACTTGAACATCTCATCATCGTTTATTTTATTTTGACTTCAACATAAACGCGTTTACAATACTTGATCCGCACCAATCACCGAAAAGTATTATTGATTTTTATTCCCAAATATTTACTGCAATAAATATTATTTATACTATAGAACTTTTTTGTAGAAGGTCATTTTATAGAGTATATTCTGTATACATAAATATATACAGTATATACAGTATTAGCAAGAAAGACGATGCATGTTTATTCAGGCCAACATCAAATATACAAGATAGATATACAGTTGTCGATTTATTTATATTAAAAATTTCATCCAAGATTATTGTTTACGTATTACAATATATAGTAACCTTTATCCACTTGTCAATGATCTGAGATTCAATAAAAAAACAAAGTATTAATCGAGATGAGCGAAAATTATAAATTATTTCATGTAAATTATAAAACAAAAAATTAAAAATTAAACATAAAGTTAGAAAAAATCATTTGATAAAAAATTAATATCAAAATATATATAAATAAATTTTAATAAATTTTAAAGCAAAAAAAAAAAAAAAGTCTTTATTGTTACTAATTTCTCATTATACAGATATAAATATTTTGTTTCTGTTTATAAAATTAACAAAATTTTGTTCAAATTGCATAAAATCTTATATATACAATAATATTGTTCTTCAACTACAGTATATTATAAAAAGATTTTAATAAATTTTTTCTCAAGAAAAAACAAGTAAAAGTCTTTGAAGAATATAATTCTTTTCCAAAGACTTGATCACTAATCCAGAATATATATTTTAAAATATTCATATCATAAATATTCAAAATTTTGTTGTTATTATTATTTACAAAAATATAAAAGATAACAAAATTTACATTATTCTTTTTAACTTGTATTTTAACTTACCAATACTAATAAAAAAATATCAAAATTTTAATTAATATTTATTTTTTTTTAACAATAATTTCAAAACAAATTTAAAATTATATTAAATAAAAAAAATTTTTTGTTATTAAAACAAAAAAATTATTATTATTATTATTATTTTAATACTCTTACATTAATAAAAATAAAAATAATTTATAATTTAATTGTTTTTTTAAAACCAATAATATTTTTATTGTATATTATATATTAAAAATAAAAATACTATATAATTGTTATCTTGATAATACAAATGATATATTTATTTTCAAACATAAAAATTATTATTTAGCCAAATCTAAAATATAAATAAAACTTAAAGATTTAGTTCAAAATAATTTATTTATAATATTCAATTTATTATTATTTTCTAAACTAATAAATTATTCAATATTTGAAATATAAAAAATATCAAATAAATCTTATTTCCTTAAGTAAGAGATAAAAAATATTATACTATAAAATAAATAATGAAAATCTCAAAATTTTATAATATATTAATTAATACAAAAAAATATTACAAGTTTTATAATTGTTTTATTAAAAGTAATTTAATCAATAAATAATATCAAATTAATAATAAAAAATTTTTTATAAAAACTATTTTAAAATTAAATATTTATAAAAAAAAATTAAATTTATTATTATCAGAAAATTTTTTATTATATATTTCAACTTAATTAATTTTATTTTATTAAAATTTTAACAAATTATTTAATTATTAAAATATAATTTTGACTTATTTATTTATTTATTTTTCTCAAAAATAAATTATTAAGAGTTTTATAAAATTTGTAAAATAAGCTTTTAAATATTTCAATAATATTTCAAAAATGTTTTTAATATAATTAAATTGATTTAAAATATTAATAAAACTATAAAAAATTTTAAAACTTATTAAATCTTTAATTTATTATCAAATATTTATTTTATAAAAAAAATTAAAATTGTTTAATAATATAAATCCAAATTGTGTCACCTCCCTCTTATAGTAACTATATAAGAGAAAAAAGAAATAAAAAAGGAATTTTTTAGACAAAAAAAAAGAAAAAAAGCTATTGTCTATTCTAACTATTATTGAAAAAGTTACCTCTATAAACTTCAAAATCCAAGTCCTTCATAATTTCTTACTTCTCATCACCTGTGACCAGTTAAACTATATAATTTCCATTGGAGTAATTAATGTTCAAGAACATTTAAGGGCACTTCCAGAAGAGTATTTCTTGAGACTTTACACTTGAAGACTTCTAATCAGAAAGAATATTGGTTTTCTATTGTTAATTTCTCTCTCAAGTCATGTCTTCTGGAATTATTACTTTATTCAACTAGCAGATAGTTTCAAAATTCCTTTCTCCAACCATTTTTAGGATAAATATCGATATATCAACTTGTTATCAGATTGAGATAAAACCTAAATCTTGTTGCTACTTTCTGTCTTTAAGAAAAAATAGGAAAGAAAAAAAGAAAATAAAAGAATAGAAACAAAAAGTGATTGCTTCTCTTCTACTCACAACTTCAATTTCACCTAGTATTTCCATATTATTCTTTTAATTAAAAACTGTCTAATTCTTTCAGGAATCAATCACATTATCGATTTAATGTTGTGTGACTAGGAACACATAAGGAGTACATATTTTGTTATTTTTTCTATGGCTAATATAATCAACCAATTCATGGCCTTGACCAATTATTTTTTAGGAAATCCAGTGTAACCAAAAAATTCAGAGTCAAACTGAAGTAGATAAAATTCCTCAAAAAAACCAGGAAAAAAGAAAGCATGCTTAAGAAAAAAGAAATGAAAAGTCAAAGAAATAATGAAAAGACTGAAGACTTCTTTATTCTTGTTTCTCTAGATTTTTTAATCTTTTGGAGGTCTTTAGAAAGTATTTTTTCTTGTCTGTTTTTTTTTTATAAAGGTATTCTTGCCATAGATCTTTTAGGTAGATTTCTTATATTTAGTTACAAAAATAAACAAGAAAAGTGTTTTTAAAAGAAAAAATAAAACAGATGGTAACTTCTGCTCACTCTGCTAGTTAGAAAACCAATATTGTTAAGGAGAGTATATAGACTTTATTATCATAAAAACATAAAATCTTTTGAGAACATCTATTTTTTGGATTGACAAAATAATTAGCAGAAAGAGTTCCATAAATTTAAATCACTATATTTTATTATTATTAAATTGCTAATGTATTTTTATTATATATATATATTTATTTATTTATTAGTACACCAGCATAATTATCAAGCTAGAAGTTTACTTAAAAACAATATTTATATTTATCAAAAACAATGTTATAATATATCAATTAATAGCTATATCTAATTCTTATTAGGATTACTTTAGATAATGATATTTGCTATAACTTGTTCCTAATTTATATTAAGTATAGAGACTAATCTACTGAATAAAAAAATTCCTTTATTTGATTAGTAGCATATATTTTTACTAGTAGCTTAAATTTTATTTCTATTAAAAAGAAATAAGAAGAAGATAAAAAAAAGTCACTGGAATAATACTTATGGCAAATAAAGCTACAGAATTCTTATTTGCTCTATTAGAGATAAATTCCTTTACTACCACCTGCAGTTGAACTAAGAATCCTAATGATTTTTTTCAATTCTGTATTCAATTCTTAAGTTTAGATTAAATTTAATAGATAGGATATACCTATTATTATTTTTAATAATGTTTTGAATCTCATGCAATTCTCTGTGATTCTGTTTGATTTCAATTTTTAGAACTATAAACTAAACTAATTTTTTAATTTTTTAACTGTTCAAATAATATTTAAGAATGTTCAAGGTAGACTTATAATCAATTCTTACTATCTGAACAGTAATTTATGTAACTTTGCACAAAACAGATCTTATTGTTAGATGCTTTCTTGGAATAAGTATTATCAGACCAATTTATTACTGGATTAAAATGAGACCAGAGCAAGGATCTGTATAAAAAATATCAAATATTAGGAAAATAATCATAAAACTTATTTGTTGAGAATAGATATCTTATATACCTTACAACTTCTGGTAATTATCATAATATCAACCAAACAATTATTATATTACAATACTTTTTTTGAAAAGTTAC